ATGTATATCTCATAAGTAATATACAAAGAAAAATTGTCCCGTGCATCGCACGGGTACAATACTAGTTAAGTAAAAAACACACTCCGTATATAGATAGTATATAAAGAACAAATGACAAAAATACTACCTATGCGGTTATGCCTATTATATTGAATTGATAAAATTAGGATCATTTTTAAATCTGGACAACAAGTGATCACATTTTTAAATCATTTTTAAATCTGGACAACAAGTAATCATTTTTACCAAATTGTTAAAAAAAGGGTTGTTTGACAGATTGGTAAAAAAATTGAGACATTGGTTAAAAAAGAAGCCCTAGTGACTAATTGACCAATTTTTTGTGAGTGATAAAAGCTAGTTAGTTATAAAAGTTAATGGAATCCGCTATTATCAATATGTTGATTCAACCGGCTATTAGCTAGCAGCCTAGCAAACATCTGCTATTATCAAATACAGTCGTCGATATTTTTAGACCTCCACTTTCGATGACGAAATCAAAGTAAAAAGACTGAAAATGTCAATTTCAAAATACTTAGAATATGAAATGTCGGAAATTCTAAAGTCGATGATCAAGAATTTATCACTCACAAAAAATTGACCAATTTGTCACTAGAGCTACTTTTTTACCTATATGTATCAATTGGTTTTCTTTTTAGAGAAAACTGTCAAATAAGCCCTCCTACTATGACTAATTTGTCAATTAAGCCATCGTACTTCCAAATCACCCAATTACGTCCACAAAGCTAGTTTCAAAAAACACCCAATTTGGCCTATTAGGCGGTAAACACCCGGTTACCCCGCTCGCTGACCTGGTCTGACGCGACGCTCACATGGCCTGACACGATGCACACGTGGCAACCCACGTCATATCCCCCTTTCCCCTCTTCTTTTTAATTTCTTATTCTTTTTCATCTTTTTCCTCTTACCCCTTCCGCTTCTCTTTCTTCCTCTGTCAAAGACCTGGTGAGAAGTTTAGAACATGGCAACTTCTTCCCACCGATAAAAATGTGAGATTTGAAATTGAAATCTTGTAATACCCATTAGACAATCCACCAATGTCACTTCTTTACATCCAATTGACATTTAGATTAAATATCTCAAGCTTCGGCCATTAATGGAGGTTGAAGCTGCTGCGGACCAAGGAACAAACCCGGCGAAGGTAACGAGAAAACTTCATTAAAGGAAGTACCCACACTTAAATCTACTGGCTACGATTCTACCATTTAATAATTTAGTTTTCGAGTAAATCTAAAGATCCATACTAACTTGAGAAAAAAATTACGTATCCGGAATCTGGATCTCCATTAATGGAGTCTCCATCTCACCAAACTACCTCCACCGGTCCAAAATAGATGAAGAAGACTCTCGTCTTTCTTTTCCATCATTGTCATCGCCGTTTTCCTCCAACTCGGCCAGCTTCTTATGCCGCTGATCTCGAAGGTCAATGGCCATGGCGGGTTGGCGGCCAATCGGTTATCATGTTCACTGAAGAGCTGAGTTGACTCTTCTACTTCCGCCATCATCACCGTTATCCTCCATTCAGCTTCAGCCTTCGTCGCCAGCATCTTCTACTTCAACCTCCTATCCCTACATTGCTTGCACCAACGTGACCTGGACGAAAAGATGAAAGAGAAGGGTACAGAAGATTTGTACACGTCATATTTAGAAAATAAAAGTGTGGGTTGAATTAATTTTTCACAAAAAAAATTAAAAAATTAAAAACTTGCCACATGGGCATTCACGTAAACTTTTGACAGGGAAACCAATTGAGCTTTTTTATAACTTCGGGTTAATCGATTGATTTTGAAGTCAGTGGACTTAATTGACTTTTTGAGTATAGTACGAGGGCCTATTTGATAGTTTTCTCTTTCTTTTACTAATTTGTCAAATGACCCTCTTTTTTTTTATACGTAATTTGGCCTTAAAGATGGAAATACGATTTGTTCATTGACAACTTTAATTTCTTAGAGGCCGTTTGGTAACATTGTTTTTCGGCTTATCAGGTTTATCAGCCAACTTTTCACCAAACACGTAATTTTTGCTTTCATGCGCTGAATTGTGTAATAAGCAGAAAAAGTAAGGTTGGAGTTACTTTTCTGGCTGTATTGGCTGATGTTACTGTAGATGACCATTTTAGCTATTTTTACATATAACTTTTTCTTTATTTTATTAATAAAATATATTTTAAATTTTTTTTTCTTAAATCAGCAGAATCAGCCGATGCAGCCACTTCAGCCAGAACTTCATAAATTTCAGCAAAATCAGCCAAAACAGCCGATTTTCGTGTTACCAAACGGGCTCTTAGTTAGTTACAATGATTTCCTAGGGTTCTTTCTCGCGGCTCTTGAATCGAACAACTCTGACAAATTCGGAAACATGTTTGTTCTTTTTAACTTTTATTTTCTGAGTTCCAAATTTAATTGCAAACTTTGATTGACACAAGGATTAAGGAATGACAATAAATGATTGTTTGCTTTATAAACTTTTGCTCATCTTCCTAAAAGTAGATGCATTTAAGTTAATGGAAAAAAGTGGGGGAAAATAATTTAAATACCCTGAACTTTTGAAGAATGTGAGATAAGCATCCCATACTTGCATAACTAATATAAGTACCCTGAACTTTATATAAAAGATATATTAGCATCATGGTCATATGCTAATTCTGTCACAAATGTAAATTTATAGTGTTAAGTAATTAATTTAAATATTCTAAGCTTTTTTAGGGTGAAATTAACACTATAAACTTAATTGTGAATGTTATTTATTTAAAATATTGAAACTTAGATAATAATTTCATCCTTATAAATGCCCAAAGTATTTTAACTTTTTTATATCTTAACACTAAAAATTTACATTTATGAAAGAAAAAATATATTATGATAGTGCTATGATAAATTTTATATAAACATCGGGGTATTTTTATTACATATCCAAGTTTGAGGTGCTTACCTGACACCCCTTAAAAGTTTGGGATATTTAAATTATTTTCCCAAAAAATTAAAAGTAAGAATAAATTTGTCATTTTATTCTTATTTACATACCTAAAATAGAAAGTGGAAAATCATTTTAAGACAACCAAAATAGGAAATTTTGCAAATCAAATTGGGACGAGTGAGTACATCATGTTGAGCAACCGAGAGTCTGAGACTAAGAGAATGACTTAATCGAGAAATTAGTATACAAACAATAGTGTTTAGAAGGTAATGGAGTACGCACCGGTTTGACAGTATGTAGATGAAACCGATGTAACAGATCAGAAATATATTTGGTTTGTGACAAAAAGATCCCAGTGGAAGTGCGATGAGCCTTGATGCCTAAGAAGTAGTGAAGGTCACCCAGATCCTTCATGGCAAATTGAAGAGATAATGTATGAATAACTGACTTAACAAACGAAGTAGACGAGCCTGTAATGATAATATCGTCAACATACAAGAGAATATATTATTAATTAGGAGCACGATGACTGTGAAGAAGTATTGATCTAGGCATCAACTATGCTACAAATGTTGTAAGGAGATACTTTAAATATGAAGATTGTTATATGTACGTTTTATTTATACAATAGTGAGCAAGCCTCAATCGACAAAATAAAGTTTAAATAATTTTCTAAATCCGGTGATCATCATGTTCTTAAGAGTCACATGACCTCAACAGCATATGTTATATTTATACGGTCCGTATGGAGAACATGTTTTAGAAAAAGATTGTATTATTATTTCTTCTAGCGACACTGTACCCATGTTTCACATTATGTTTTTATATGTTTCGTTTTCTTCTTCTATTCTCTTTTGATTAGTAAAAGTGTGAAACATGCATAGACAATAAATGATTAAATTGTGGCTGGATGTATCTTTTATCGTCAGCATCGTTACGGTTTGTCTCATACCAATTTAGAGCATTGTGGTTATTCTAATTCGTCATTACTAAATGACTTCAATCACAATTTACAAATATATTTCGAGTATTATTTGGAAACGGGCCGGGGGTTGAGAAGTGTAGTCGATTGTGGCCTTGTGGAAAGAACCCGTGGAAGGAGATAAATTAAGATAGTCAGATAGACATGAAAAAATGGGTCAAAAAACGAAAAGATGATGAGTTCTATTACCGGGGCCGATTGGGAGTTTGAGGCTATGATTTAGTTTCCGCATCTACATTCCAGTTAAATTTTTGGAGTTCTTTTTATGATTCTCGTGCTTGCGCTCCCGTAATCTTGAAGTCTATTGATTATCCACCAAAGCCTCTAAACAGTTAGATCCGGCTCTGATCACAGTCAACTTTCATCGGTACTGGTTTCACAGGGCAATTCCGGTTGGACTTCCTTTTAAATGAATCCAGGGGGTCCTCCTACCACGTAGGGTTTCCTTTCAACTGAATCCAGAGGGTGCTCCTACCACGAGAACTGGAGTATGAATTTCCTTCCCCTCTCTTCTTAGTTGTTGAGTAACTCCGTGAAGGTAGGAAGAATCATTGAGGGCAAGACCTCTCTCATCTTCCTTTGGTGCGTAGCGGATTTGAACACGAGACCTCACATATGGACAGGTAACCTCACAACCAGTTGAGCTGATATGCTTGACATTGGGTTACTTTTAATTGCGACAATCGTGAGGTGTTTGGAATTGAGGGGTGTTTGGATCTGATTTTAAAACTGCAAGTTGGAGTGTTTGAAATAGTAGAAACAATTTCAATATCATCCACGGCTTTTGAAATAGTAGAAACAATTTTGAGAAGTATATGCACTCACCCTTTACTTCGATCATTATAGTGATTCGACATTGAAAGTGAAAACACCGTATTTTCTCTAATTTATGCCGTAAATCAAAACGCTCTTAATCATATGATGAATGAGTAAAGTATGTTGATCAAGGATTAAGGGTGTGGAAAAATCAATGCCACGTTGTGTTAAGAGCCATTCCCTTTTTTAAAGCCTACCGACATTGCCACTAAATTAACACATAAAACAAAATTACCGACAATTCAGACTCTGTTCAACCCAGTCGACCCCCAAATCTCAATCCCCATTTCTCTCTCAAATATGATCATTATTAATAATTCCACTTCTAACTTGTCCCTTCCACCAGTGGATGATGCCAAATTCCTGCAGGAATACATATTTCCTTTCTCTTCTCATCCTATTCCCGATTCTACCACCTCAATATGCTTCTTTCCTTCTCCTAACTTCCTCGAATCTGCAATTCAGAGAAGCCCCCCAGTTCTATAACTCCCGACTCTGCCCCTCTCTCCCCGCCGACACTCCGGTCTCCGGCCGCCGGCTCTGTTTTGACGACGCCGTGCACGTCGCCATGACCCTCGATTCAGCTTACCTCCGGGGATCAATGGCCGCCATTCTCTCCATTCTCCAACACTCTTCTTGCCCGGAAAATATTGTCTTCCACTTCGCCGCCTCTGCCTCCGCCGCCGACTTGTCTTATCTCAACCTCACCGTGTCGAAGTCGTTCCCTTACCTCCGTTTCCAAATATACCCTTTTGACGACTCCGCCGTCGCCGGCCTCATCTCGACTTCCATTAGGGACGCTCTGGATTGCCCCCTCAACTACGCGCGAAACTACCTCGCCGGTCTACTCCCGACATGCGTCCGGCGAGTGGTTTACCTCGACTCCGACCTCGTACTTGTCGACGACATCGCCGAGCTGGCGGCCACGCCTTTGCTCGACGGACAAGTTCTCGCCGCGCCGGAGTATTGCAACGCGAACTTCACGGCCTACTTCACGCCGACGTTCTGGTCCAGCCCTTCTCTGTCTTTGACGTTGGCAAACAGAGAGGTATTAAAACGTACTTGGGTTAAATATAGAAAATTATTGGGATTACTCCAAACACAAAGTTTGAGTAATTGGTTCCTATACTCTAGGGCCGGTTAAGGGTCAATTCTTAATTTCTTATTTTGCTAATAGCAGCTGTTGTATATTCATAATATTGCTTTTTGGATAGTTGGATTAAAAAACGAAGCAAAAAAAAAAAAAAAAACGAACCAAGAAGATGAACTAGAAGTTCTTTTTCAAAAATAAGTACTACGTATGTTCATGTAGTTGATTCATCATTTCATATTTCACATATATACGGAGTACCGAGTAGGCGAGTACTACTTCCATTACATTTTATTGATGAAATTCATATCAATATACTTCCTATAATTTATACTTTGGTTCTATAATAATAATTTAGTTGAAAATCAATACAAATAATCCAAACTCATAAATGTGTCTAAGATAGATGATTAAACCTTTTATCAGTAGCTAGAAGTCCATCCAGGCATCCACCCGGTTTTATATATATATACTTCGTATATCCTTTAAAAAATATTTATAGTAATCACATTAAAAAACACTAAACTCAAATTTATAACAATAGTGAAAGTGTAAAAGTGCTTTTAAATGCTTCAAACACTACTTAATAAGGTAGCTTTAATAGCTTAAAGTAAACACCTGCCAACCTTTTTGTATTGACATTGTTCAATGAAAATGATACTACTATTAACTTTCCATACAATATGAAATGTTTATATTTTATATTTGATGCTTTTTCGATGAAAATTATAGATAGTATTTGCTACCTACGTAGTGTGATACTGATATTTATTGAATGATAAGTGACTCGAGACAATTGTATACTTGAAAGTTGGAACATTTTTTATACCTCTTAAAAGTTACCAAGTACTATCTCCGTCCCAAAATGATTTGCAAATTTGACTTTTCTTGGTCAAACAATTTCATTTTGTTCGCTTTATTAAGATGTCAATTTTTAATTGTATTTTAATTTGGAGTTTACAACTTTGAAGAGATTTGAATGTAGTTTATGAATATGTAAATTTTAATTATTAAAAACTGAATTAATTATCAATAGGAATGATTGACTTTTATTATTGGTTGACCAAAAAATGTTGACTTTGCAAAACAAATTGGGACGGAGGGAGTAGTATATACAGAACTTATTCGAAAATCATGAAGTGTAGAGCATGGTTGATAATCAAAGCCTATATCTTTTAACTTTTGTACTCCCTTCGTCCCAAATTATTTTGCAAAGTCAACATTTTTTGTCAATCAATAATAAAAGTCAATGCTCTGTATCAATGATTAACTCAATTTTTAATAATTAAAATTTACATATTCGGAAACTATATCAAAATCTCTTCAAAGTTGCAAACCCTAAATTAGAATATAATTAAAAATTAACATCCTAATTGAGCCAATAAGATGAAACTTTTTGACCAAGAAAAGTCAAATTTGCAAATCAATTTGAAACGGAGGTAGTATTATTCAAAAAATCATTAAAAGATTTTAGTTGAATGTTTGACATTACAATTTTTAAAAGATTGTATCAAAATAAAAGATTTCTTTGAGAAGCTACACTAAGTAGCATTTGGAAAAAATCTCATAGCTTTTAGCATTACTTAGCCAGAACAGTTTGTAGACGAATTGAAACAAAATTAAATCAAACAGTCGGCTTTTTCTAAAACAACTATTACATTCATCTGATAAGATTTTTTTCAGTCACTAAAAACTAATACTCCCTCCGTCCCTGAATGTTGTTCCGATTGCGGATTACGAAGGTTGACCGACGATAAAGTTAAATGATCCCTGTGAAAACTCGGAATATTTTTAGTAAATAAAATTTACATATTCAGAAACTACATTAAACCCGCTACAAAGCCTACAAAAAAAAAAATCAATTTTCATAAAGTTTTGATACAAAAAGTAAGAGTTTAAGAGTGATTTAAGTTGACTCTCGAAAAGCGAAATGGAAGTAAATTTAGGGACAGAGGGAGTAGTGTCTAATTAAACATTCAAAAACTATCTTTTCAACTAGTTGTGCCAAATATAACCAAAATATAGATGAAGTTAACAAATTAAGCTAATCTAATTTCTCGTATATTTAATTCGCTCAATAGGACATGTTTTATTTTCAATTTGTATCAAAACAAAACAATAACCACTTGTCAAAATAGGAGCAAATTCATACGGAGTATCTTATTTTAGAAAGAAAAAAAATCATGGTCACATTTTACTCATACTATTCATATTTTCGAATATTTTCTAATTCATACACATTTTCCCAAATTTATATTAGTATGTTTGTATTTGTTGTGAATTTGTGATGAGATGGCTTTATATATTAGGCGTGCTACTTTAATACGGGAGTAATGATGATCGACCTGGAGAGGTGGAGGGAGGGAGATTTCACGACCAAAATTGTAGAATGGATGGAGCTCCAGAAGAGGATCAGGATCTACGAGCTGGGATCCTTGCCGCCGTTCTTGCTGGTGTTCGCCGGCAACATAGCTCCGGTGGATCACAGATGGAACCAGCACGGGCTCGGGGGAGATAACTTCCGAGGTGTCTGCCGGGACTTGCACCCCGGTCCGGTGAGCCTATTGCACTGGAGCGGCAAGGGTAAGCCTTGGGCTCGACTCGACGCCGGCCGCCCTTGTCCGCTGGACGTTCTTTGGGCACCTTATGATCTCCTGGAAACGCCTTACTTTCATGATGAATCATGATTATAGCTTGATTAGTGCATATATACTTCGTACAATACAATCGTATATGGTGTATACGTCCATGCATGTATATTAATTTTATAATCTAATTCCAAAAATAGGCCATACTGAATGCACAAGTGCCTCAATTGGTTGAGGACGATTGCTAGCACTAATTCAATTTTCTTTCTTGTTTGTGTTTCTATGGTAAACACGATTATATTAATCAATTGAAATCAATCATAATTAAAATCAATTCAAATTAATCAACTCGGAAAGTAACCCTAGGATTATACAAAGAGGTGACTGTGACCATCACCGAAACAGCAACTCGAACAGGATACCTTTGAACATGACCTTTTAAAAAACGTTCAATTGAGTGTTTTTCCCAATTAAACTCTGATTTCTCAATTAACGGCCCGTGAAGCGGCTCGCGTGATATTTCTTTTTATTTTCCTTTTTTCTTTTCGCCCTTTTTTCTTTCTTTTTCTCTTTTCTTTTTCTTTTCCCTCTTTCTTTCTTCTATGCTTGCTTGTTCCCCTTCTTTCTTTCGTTCTTTCGTTCATTCTTTTTTCTTTCATTCTTTCTTTCCCTATCCTCTATAATTAATTTTCTAATCAGTTAATTTTCTATGTACACCTACTATATATTCCTAATCTAATTAATAGAATTAATAGCTCTATCATTCTCTTGCATAACCGATCAGTCTGTTGGTGGTGAGTCAGTCTATTGGCGTCGGCGTCAGAGTTTTGGGGACGACGATGCTATCTGAGGACTAATTCTAGAATTTTTTGAGGCAACTTTACAACAGATTTGACGACAGCAGTAAACAGAACGGCGATGGATTTATGACGGCAGCGACCGACAGGCAGCAACAACTAGAGCGGGGGGCGGCAGTGGCTGACCCAAACCTTGCAGGGGTATCGTTGTCCAAGCTTTAAAAAATTCTCTCGTTTGAGAAATTTTAAAAACTTAATCCAGCCAATTTTTGCACTTCCTTCATGTTTTACTCTTATTTAAGAAAGTATCCGAAAAAAGAAACAAAGAGAAAATAGGAAAAAGGAAAAGAAAATGAAAAAACCAAAAATATAGAAAAGAAGGAAAAATTTCAAGAGGACTTCCACAAGGTAATTGGGAAGGCTTTGGCTTCAGGCCTTCAGTCCTTCTACCTTTATATCATTTCTTAAAATCTTATAATCCTCAATGAGGGTTAGGGTATTTTAGGAACGGAAAAAGTGTTGGTGTAATCATGTGGCTTTGTCAGGTGGTACAATGTGTTTTATTATGTGTACTTTTTGGAGAATTTATTTTTCCGCTTTATTTCCGTCTTAGGACTCCGTTCGTTCCACTGCTTCTGTTATCTCAGCTTTAACCGATCTTCTACTTAGTTCATCTCTCAGCGCTCCTTAACTTGGTATCTTCGTCCACAAGACCTTCCTGTTCGGCCACCACAATATCTCCTCAACCATGCCCTAGCCGTCGCCGTCATGTTCTTCTTTGCGTTCCTCAGAAATGTCACCAATGGTGGCGCCTACAATCCCCTCACGGTCTTGGCGTCTGCCATCTCCGACGGTTTCATCAATTTCATCTTCATCCTCGATGCCAGAATCCCTACCCAGGTCAACCTTTTCACCTTTACTCAATTTCAGTTGAGATTCCCCAGTCTAATACTGGGGATTATTATTAAGTGTGCATTATTCAAGACTCCGTATTTCTTAACATTCAAAACCTGACTTGCTTATAAAGATTTATGAGACAACATGAGAATATCATAAAAACGGAAAATTATACGGAGTATATGATAGTCAATGTTTGCCTTTCATGTAAAGTACAAGCATAACATGCTACAATATACGAGTAGTTCTTAATTCTTTATTAATTATATATATATATCTCAAAATGCATTCTTTAATCTTTGAAGGTGGTTTAATTATTAGGACTGGTTTACAATGCATATAACAAACTATGTAATATTGTTACACTTTCAGAGTATAGAAGTTATTATAATTGCATCATCTGAGAGTTTATTGAGTTTGATAGCTACGTGCTTGCAAAAATGTCAACAAGGCACTTTTTAAGTACTTTAAATACTTTGATAGTTCATTTGTAAAAAACTTATAACTAAAGTTCCTAGAGGATTTGCAATAAGGGAAATCGTGTCACCCTAATATGGAGACTGAATTTTCCTTGAAGGTCCACATTACCAATTGCATTAATCTTGTCAAGGTACTCTTAATTTGAAGCTCAATGTGTTAAATTTAAAGATTTTTCTAATAATAAGATTTGTTCTTCTTTAGAGAAGATTAAGAACGCCAACTACAATGTGAAGAATTCCTTAGATTATGCAATTTTTGGCATATCATGTCTTTTCGAATAAAGTCTTAATATGATTAACTAAATTTGTTTGTTTTTTCAAATTTATGTAAAAGGACACTTAGCCAATGTATTCGACATGAGAAGTATTGATATTCGAAGTTCCCAACTCCCCTAGATAGTCCAAACACCAAGTTGGATAAATTTACTCTATATAGGTAGCCATTAAGTTGAAACTATGGCTACAGCTTTTAAGTCAAAGCTTTAGACTACTCAGAAACACTTTTCTTCACTTATATCCATTCTAATTACTTCTTTGTGATGTCAAGGGCTGCAAATAAATAATTTAATATTCAGTTATTATTAGTTTAGAGAGAATTCATACTAAAAAAGTAACACTTTGTTTCTGTGACATAATGTGTTTCTTTATTTGTCCAATTAAAATATTTATGTTGAACTCTTTGCAGTTAGTTTTTTTCTCTAAGACATTACTGTTTTTTAAAGGCCATGCTGAAAGAAAATTATTATTAACTTCATAAACTCAGAAAAGCTGGTTTTAGATGAAGGAAAAAATCCAACCTAAGTCGTCTCTTAGAGAAATTTAAATGCAGCATCTTTGTAAAAATGAAGCCTCCTACTTGTGCTTTTCATCGATTCAATAATCTGGGTAAAATTCAGCTAGAAGAGAGTTGTTTAATAATTTCGAAGCACACAAGGCCTTTGTGAATTTTTCTCCGTTAGAGTCTTTATATTTCTAAATGATGGTTAATCTTACTCTTGTAAAAGCATATGTAGACTTATACTCCTGCAGTCAATAATTAATATTCGGATGTATTCCATGAATCATTTTTTATTGGAGCCCAATACAATATCAAATTAACTCACAACATATAAAGCAGATTATTAGGTACATAGACTAAGAAAATTGATCTCCCACCCCTACCCCCACTGGAAACTCTCGCTTCTACCCCCTACCTAGGTTGTTCAGTACCAATTATATTGGATACTCTATAGCTTTGAAGTTGAGGCAGAACACACTCCTTCTCGATGATCGATATGTGTTATCTCAGTTAAGCTAATATGTTGAATAAAATGATGTGTAGAGACTTCTGAATTTTCTATGTTTGGGTTATTATATATATTGTTGTAGATATTTTATTTAATAAAAACCCTTGAAAATCTCCAAGTGAAGACTGCACACAGTTGATGTTGTGTTCGCTTATGTTGCTTTATAGTGTATAAATATGCTATTCAAAATTTTGCAAACATTTCGTTGTAGTTTATTATGGTCTATGTGACTGCGTCTTAGGCTGTGTTTGCGAGAGCTTTTGAGAAGCACTTTTGAGCTTTTATGTTAAAAAAAGTCAAAATTTGTGTTTGCAAAATGTAGATTCTGCTTAATTTTAATCATTTTTCCATGAAAATCCGAAGCAGCAAAGGGCATGCTTTTTTCAGCTTCTTGGTAAATTAGTAAATAATTGCAACTTAGGGTTACTTTATATTTCCAATATGCCTATGTATATCATGTTAATGTCCTCCATCTTCTACATCACTGATCGAGAAGTCGCTCCTAACACAGTTTCTGCCCATCCCTTAAATTCTAATCGTCTATTCCGGGTAAGTGCGTTGCTGCTAAGCAAGTTGAGAAGCCGCCGTCTCAGATTGAAAATTGAAGATCTGCTTTAATGTCCAAGAAAATTTCAGAGCTATATATGATATATATTGCCGGCCCACATGTATGATAGCCGAAATGTGAGCAGCCTGGGATTGTAGGTGAAATTCTTGTGACTTGGTGATCCGTAGTAGCTGGACTGTAAGGAGCCATTTCTGATGTTGAAGATTTATACGTAGTATATACATATATAATATATGAATCGATTGAGAGAGAGAATTGATTAGGGTGTTTGTTAAGGGCATTTTTGTACACTTCAACTTTTTAACTTTCAATTAAAATCACTTCTATTTACAAACACTATCTACTTTTACTATAAATCACTTTTTTCATAATCACATAAAAAATCACTTTTGAGAAGCAAAAGCAAACGCAAACATAACCTCAGTGCATTGGTGTTAAGTGTTTAATGAATGACGACTTTGTTTTAACTGTAGAAGTAAAACGACTATGTTCATTTCCTTTGCTTCAATAAACATTATCGGCACTTTACAGTAAGCACTTTGTAGTATTTCAGCAATGATCCATTTGGTGAATTTACTCATTGATCGTATTAGTCAATCAATTCCCTAAATAACCTGAAAAAAGGATTTCTATAAGAAAGTAAGAAACTAATAGTCACTTCAATATGGAAGAATAGAAGTTAATTAACAATTCTGTAGTATATAAATTAATATCACCAATAAAAGCAACCACTAATTAAACCCCAATCTGATATGCTAATTAGGTAGACGAAATGATAGAAAGAGTATTATCGGCCCCAAGCAATTGATAATAGCATACCTTGATCAACAAAAAGAAATAAACACCAAAACTGGGTTTATTATGAGCAAACACAGTTTTTAACAAAGAGATCTTGAGGTTTAGAGAAAGAACCTAATATAAGAGCAAAGAGACTGGTTGAAACTTACCAAGATATACAATTAAACATGAACCTTTACAAGTTTCCTTCAAATTCATTTTTATGAGGCTGCTTGTTGCATTACTGAAAACTCAGCTTAGTGGCGTGATCCAATCACCAAGCTGATGTTGTATGAGAAGGTAGTTGGGCATGAAGGGGGTCGAGTCTGTTCTTCGATCTGTGAGAAGTGTTGGTCATGGAAGAAGGTTGTTAGGTGGCCTATGGGGAGGTGGGTAGTGTAGTGATCTGCCAAGGGGTATTGCAGCTCACTACCTAAGTGCGGGAAT